GGACAGATTGGTAAATACACTCACACATTCACACAGCAGTGACTGTCAGTGAAAAGATTGATAACTGCACTCTCGTATTGACAGTACAGAAACTGACAGGAACAAACTGATGATAACTCTCCCAGTTTCACAGAATGTTAACTGATGCGCATAAACCTAACAAAGTGTCAGGTACAGATCGATTACTGAACTCTCATTCACATAGCAGAGACTGACAGGTAAAGACTGATGACAGTCATATATTTATATAGCAGGAACTGACAGGCATAAATGGATAACTACACTCACATATTAATATAGCAGAAACTAAAAGGGGCAGATGAATAACTACAGTCACACATTTGATTCACAGAAACTGACAGGGGCACATTGACAGCAAACACACATTTACATGACAGAAACGGATAGATACAGATCGATAACTAAACTCATTTATTCACATCGCCGAAAATTATAGGTAGAGACTGATAATGACAGTCATACATTCACAGAACAGGAACTCCATGTGTAGATTGGTTACTAAGCTCACATTTTAACATAGCAGAAACTGACTGGCATCGATTGGTAACTGCGTTTGCATATTCTCATGGCTGAAATGAACAGGTCCAGATAGATAACTACACTCATACATTCACACAGTAAATACTGACAGTGACAGATAGATAACTAAACTCCCATCCTTTGCATCTCAGAAACCGTCAGGAACAGATTGATAACTGCACTCAAATATTAACACACCAGAAGCTGACAGTTACAGATTGATATCCAAACTCTCATATTCAGATAACCAGAAAATGGCAGGTACAAATTGATAACCACACTCACATAAGCACATCACAGAAACTGACGGGGAAAGAACTGATAAAAAGCAATCAGACATTCACATAGGAGAGTCTGGCAGCAACAGAGTGATAACTAAACTCTCACATTGTTATAACAGAAACTGTCATGGACAGACTGAAAATTTATTCATTGAGCATTACCTGTCAACCTGACAGGTACAGAGTGATAATAGCTGCCAAGCATTCACGGAGCACATACAAACATAAACAGATTGATAACAAAACTGCCATTTTCACATGACAGGAAACCTGCAGGGACAAATTAGTAAATACAATATAGAATCACAGAGCAAAGACTGATAGGGACAGAGTGATAACTACAATTACACATTCATACACTAGAATCTTTCAGTGATAGACTGATAATTGTACAAACAAACTTACCAAGGAAAAACTGACAGTTACAGATTTAGAACCAGACTCTCATTTTCACAAAGTAAAAACTGGCAGGTGCAGTGTGAAACTGCACAAAAATATTCACAGAACAAAATCTCCCACACGACACACTGACATATGCTGAGCAGAAACAACCAGGTTACTAACTAAACCTACATATTGATGGAGCAGAAATTGGTTGGTACAGATTAATGACTGCACTCTCCTATTGATACAGCAGAATGGACATGTAGGGACTGGTAACAAGACTCATGCATTCTCATAGTAGAAACAGACAGGCATAGATTGAGAACTACACCCACGCATTCACACAGTACAAACTGAATGGTACAGGCTAATAACATTACCCATTTGAACAGCAGAAATTGACAGACATGACAGAAGATACTGACCTGAGTTATTGAGGGATATTGAGCCTCTGGTCAGGGAAGTAAAAAGAAGCTATACATTGGTTTTAAGCTATCGGACTTAAGTGAATCCGTACATAACAATAAAGAGTGTAGGAGCACACCTAAGAGGGCAATCAGAAAAGCAAAAAGAGGGTACGAGATGGATCTGGCAGATAAGATAGATATAGATCCTCTTGGGATTATCTTTAACCTTAAGAGTAAAAGGGTGGCTAGGGAGAGATTATGTCCCCTTAAAGATCAGCATGGCCATCTGTTTGGAGCCACAGGAGATGGGGAGGTATTTTTAATGAATATTTCTCCTCTGTGTTTACTGAGGAAAGTATCATGGAAACTAAGGAAATAAGGGAAAGAAGTGGAGATATTTTGAACTGCATACATATTACCATAGAGGAAGTGTTTGCAGCCTTAGATCGTATTAAGGTGGATGAGTTCCCTGGGCTTGATCAAGTCCATCCTTGGATGTTGTGGGAGGCTGGGGAAGAAATTGCAGAGGCCCTTGCAGAGATTTTTGTTTCATTTTATCCACTGGTGAAGTTGTATGGAAGACTGGAGGGTGGCTAATGTTGTTCCATTGTTTAAGAAAGGTAGCAAAGACAAGCTAGGGAACTACAGGCCAGTGAGCCTGATATCAGTGGTAGGCAAATTATTGGAGAGGATACTGAGGCACAAGATCAACCAACATTTGGACAGTCAAGGTGTGATTAGGGATAGTCAGCATGGATTTGTGTGTGGGAAGTCATGTCTGACAAATCTTTTAGCGCTTTCTGAAGAGGTAACCAAATGGATAGATGAGGGTAGGGCAGTAGATGTTGTCTGTATGGACTTTAGTTACGCCTTTGACAAGGTCCCGCATGGCAGGCGAGTAATAAGGTTACGTTGCATGGGATCCAGGGAAAGCTAGCTAATTGGAGTCAAAATTGGCATGATGGTATGAAGCAGAGGGTGATGTTTGAAGGTTGTTTCTCCAACTGGAGGCCTGTGACTTGTGGTGTGCCACAGGGGTTGGTGCTGTGACCTTTGTTATTTGTTATTTACATAAATGTCCTGGATTTGAATGCACAAGGCATGATTAGTAAGTTTGTGGTTGGTTAGGAGGTATCATTGATAGCGAGGAAGATCATCAAAAATCTTGATCGGATGGGGAAGTGGGCTAAGGATTGGCAAATGCAATTCAATACAGATAAGTGTTAGGTGTTGCACTTTGGAAAGTCAAACCAAAGTAGGCCTTATACAGTAAATGGTAAGGTCCTGAGGAGTGTTGTGAAACAGAGGGACCTTGGAGTACAAGTACGTAGTTCATTGAAAGTGGAATCACAGGTGGATAGGGTGCTAAAGAAGGCATTTAGCTTGCTGGCCTTCATTGATTGAGGCACTGAGTATAGGAGTTGGGACATTATGTTACAGTTGTATAAGTCATTGGTGAGACCACATTTGGAGTATTGTGTACAGTTTTGGTCACCCAGTTGTAAAAAAGATATGGTTCAACTGGAAAGTGTTCAAAGAAGATTATCGCACGACAGGTGAGCCTCAGTTATAGTGAAAGGTTTGCCAGGATAGGACTTTATTTCTTGGAATGTAGGAGAATGAGGTGTGACCTTATTGAGGTGTATAAAATCATGAGGGGCATAGATAGGATAAATGCATATAGGGTTTTTTGCCCATGGATGGGGAATTGGAAACTAGAGGACATAGGTTTCAGGTGAGAGGGCAAAGATTTGAGAATGACCTGATGGGCAACTTCTTCACGCAGAGAGTGGTGCATATGTGGAATAGGCTGCCAGAGAGAGTGGTTGAGGCAGATACAATAGCAACATTTAAAAAAAACATTTGAATAGATACATGGATGGGAAGGATTTAGAGGGATATGGACCAAATGCGGGCAATTGGAACTTGCTGAAAGGGAACCATGGTCAGCATGAACCAGTTTGGGCTGAAGGGCCTTTGTCCATACTGTATTACACTGTGACTCTATGACCTCAAACTACATTGGGACCTTGATCAAAAGTGCCAATGGGCCGAGTACTGGCCGATGGAGTTTAATTTTGATAAATGTGAGGTGCTCCAAGATGTAAGGGAAAATCGGGGCAGGACTTCCACACTTAATGGTAAGCTCCAGGGAAGTGTTGCGAAACCAAGAGGGCTTAGAGTGCAGGTTCATCACTCCTTGAAAGTGGAATTACAGGTAGACAGGGCAGTGAGGAAGGTGTTTGATTGGTAAGTGCTTGAGTGTACAGATTGGGAGGTCATGTTGTGGCTGGACAAAACATTGGTTCAGCCACTTTTTGAATACCGCATTCAGTTCTGGTCTCACCTTGCAATAGGAAAGACGTTGTTAAACTTGAAACGGTTCAGAAAAGGTTTACAAGTATGTTGCCAGGGTTGGAGAGTTTGAGCTATAGGGATAGACTGAGTAGGCAGGGCTTATTGGGGCTTTTTTTCCCCTGGAGTGTTGGAGGCAATGTGGTGACCTGATTTGAACATTATAAAATTATGAGGGGCATGGATATGGTGAATAATTAAGATCTCTTCCCGAGGATAGAAGAATCCAAAACTAGAGGGCATGGATTTAAGGTGAGAGGGGAAAGATGTAGAAGGAACTGAAGGAGCAACATTTGCACACAGAGTGTTGTATATTTGGATTGAATGCCAAAAGAACTGGCGGAGGCTGATAAAACTACAACTGATAAGACTACAAAAAAGGCATCTGGATGAGTATGTGAATAAGAAGGGTTTAGAGGGATATAAACCAAATACTAGCAAATAGTACTAGATTAATCTAGGATATCTGGTTGCCATGGACAAGGTGGATCCTAGGGTCTGTTAACATGCTGTACATCTCTATGACTGTATAACAGGAAAAGATTGTGAGAGAATAATAATCATTCACACTGCATGAACAGACAAGGATAGATTGATAACTGCACTCCCATTTTCAGATTGCAGAGACACAGATATTCGGCAAACTATCCCTCGTAAACCTGAATTTCTTAACAACACAATGCTGCCTACAGCGTAATGATGAAACAAAATAATATTTTATACACAAAAGATTGTCATGAGCAGAATAAAACACGTTGTCACAATTAAAATCTCACAGGTACTGTGTTCAAAATATCATTAAATGACAATAACCAGTTCAATTTAGAATGAGCTGGGAGTTTGAGCTGGGAGTTTGAGCCGTGTACCAAAATTTCAGAGATAACAAGGTGTAGAGCTGGATGAACACAGCAGGCCAAGCAGCATCATAGGAGCAGGAAGGCTGACGTTTCGGGCCGAGACCCTTTATCAGAAAATGAAAATTTCATTTGGTGTTTCACGTTTCGTTGCAGACCCTGACAGATCCACATTGTGTCCCACACTAACCAATCACAGAGAGGCTGATGTCATGGTCTGACATTCTTGTAAACTACCCAATCAGGAACAAGACTTTCCCCCATCCTTCATTAGCATTGCTGACGCCGGCAGGCTATAAAAAAGCGAGCTCCGAGCCTGCTTTCTTTTATTCTGTATCTGAAAGTGATCGTCATTATGGCTGATGAGAAGAAATCGCAGCCAACTTCTAAGAAGGGCGCGAAGAAAATCATCAAGAAGGCGCCAGGCAAAGGCAGCAAGAAAAGGAAACGATCCAGGAAAGAAAGTTACTCCATCTACATCTACAAAGTGATGAAGCAGGTTCACCCCGACACCGGCATCTCCTCCAAGGCCATGAGCATCATGAACTCGTTCGTCAACGATATTTTCGAGCGCATCGCGGGGGAGGCTTCCCGCCTGGCCCATTACAACAAGCGCAGCACCATCAGCTCCCGGGAGATCCAGACCGCCGTGCGGCTGTTGCTGCCCGGAGAGCTAGCCAAGCACGCCGTGTCGGAGGGTACAAAGGCGGTGACCAAGTACACCAGCTCCAAGTAAGGCACCACATTGTGCTGAAAAACACACATCCAAAACCCAAAGGCTCTTCTAAGAGCCACCCACAACTTCATTAAAAGAAGCTGAGCCATTGTCTGTTTATTACTGATTTGCTTTAGTTTGAAATTGATTCTGGGGAATCGTCTATTTATACATTTGGCTGTTTAAGTTTGTGTGATAAGTGATCGCTGTTCCTCTGCACTTTGTTTTCGGTTGTGTTCACATACAGTCTCTTCCCTACCTGCAGAGAGAGAGCAAATTAAACCAGCCATTGCTGAGCTAATTCTGTTAGTTGTCCTTTAATACTCGGTCAGTTTAGCAGCTGCACACCGTGGTGGAGTATGAACCGTGAAGTTCATCCCTGGAAAAAAAAAAGTCTCCCTGTTCTTGAATCCCCCGAATAGATACATTTTGAAATCGCTGGTCTTTTGTTTTAATTTCCAAATCTCCACGGGAGTTGTGTCCGTTTGTAGAGTGCTGTAAATGAGGCTTAGTTCTGTGGGTGAGAGACTTTCAAAATGAACCGAGATAAACCAGAACTGGAACAGCAAATTTGTGCTTTTGCTGAGGTGTGATCAGGTACGAAAAGGGAGCGCGAATTTAAAATATTGTCCAGAGACGGTGTTCGCTGTTAATGCGCTCACCGGGAAGAACGATGTCTGATGTTTTATCAATATACCGATAGGCTTTTTAAATAAATTGAAAGAAAAAGAATGCTGCAGAGTGTGGCTTTTGGCGCTTTGATCTTGTTTCCGCTTGTACTTAAAGTTCAGAAAATCCCACTAAAGGTCCGAAATTGAGAGGTTTAAATGGACTGAATGAGGTAAAGAGATTGTGTGAAGCGTACATTTGTAAGCTCAAACTAAACTAACTCGTAACTCTTTACGCATTCCTGTTTGTAAAACTCCCTCTTTTGTACATTTTGGCGGGCTCTTCGAGGAAGAAAGAAAGCAGTTGATGATTTGGCGCCGGTATTTTGCGGCCTCCTCCCCGGATTGGTGAGTGAAGCAGGTTTCTGATTGGGAATTGAAACTATATTAGGAGACGCTGAACAATGTGACCAATCAGTAATGGCCGCACCACCATTCCTCTCGAAGCTATAAGAGGACGGAATGTGGGCGCATTGCAGCATTCTCAATGAAGGTGTTTGTGATATTGTGGCCATGTCTGGGAGAGGAAAGGGCGCTGGTGGGAAAGCTCGCTCCAAGGCGAAGTCCCGGTCGTCCCGGGCTGGCCTATAGTTCCCGGTGGGCCGTGTTCACAGGCTCCTGAGAAAGGGTAACTATGCTGAGCGTGTGGGTGCCGGAGCGCCGGTCTATCTGGCTGCGGTGCTTGAGTACCTGACGGCTGAAATCCTCGAGTTGGCCGGTAACGCGGCCCGGGACAAGAAGACCCGCATCATCCCCAGGCACCTCCAGCTGGCCGTGCGCAACGACGAGGAGCTCAACAAGCTGCTGGGAGGGGTGACCATCGCTCATGGTGCGGTGCTGCCTAATATCCAGGCCGTGCTATTGCCCAAGAAAACCGCTGCTGGGGGCGCCACTAAAAAGTGAAGAGAGGTTCTTGAATCCGACGATCCAAAGGCTCTTTTAAGGGCCACCCACAGCATCTGTGAAAGAAACTGGACTGTCACCACTGCCGAGTTCATTTTAATTTCCTTCGTATTACTGAGAGACCGGTAACACAATATTCACCCTGCCGTCAGGTATGTTACTGAGCTATAACCGTCTGGACGGAATGCATCCATGCAGCAGTTTCCTGTAATTGCATTGGAAAGATCTGACACTGGTGGAGAAACACCAATAAATTTAGAAATCTAGAAATAATGACCCCAGTAGCCGCAAAGCGATTCAGTATCTCTTGACATGATGTTTTCGACCAGATATTACTATCTGCAGTACTGTACCCCCTCCGCATATGCTGCCTTCCTCTTCTCGGGTCTCGTTCTCAATGTAAGGTTTTGGGCGGCTCTCTGAAGAGAGAATGGCGGTTGTATGTTTAGCACTGAAGTCGTTGTTGAACGTGTGCTGTATTATGTGTTGAATGTTTGATTTAAAGATTTGAGTTTGTTTGTTCGTTTGTTTTTCAACATTGGGTTTTTGATGAATAAGCTGAAACGAGTATTTAAAACAAACTAGCATCTAATCGATGGTTCTGGTGATTTCAGTCTAGGATTACTAATACCAATGTTCATGGACTAGAATTTAATCGAGTGGATTGGCGTGCTTTATGTATAGAATTCTAGATGAGTGTGAATTACAGGCTTCAATATCCTTTCGCAATTTAATGTTGTACTGTTTGCAATGCTCCCTAGGTGGCACATATCACGTACAATCACGAGTAGATAGTGAATGAGACATGCACCTCCACCCAGTGGTGAGAGAGGAGTGAATTAATCCACCCATGAGCTTTATTTGATTGCAATTCTCTCTTTTTTAAAAAATTTTATATTTAGACAATCGGGATTTGAAAGTCATAACAGGTTAGTATGGAATTGGAGAAACTGTTTATTCGTGGACTGAACTCAAATGAGTGGCAGATGGAGTTTACATCAGGTAAAATGATGTGCTACTTTTTGGAAAGCCAAATCAGGCCAGAACTTGCACAGCTTGATGGGGAATGTTGCTGAACAAAGAGACGTTGCCGTGCAGATTAATAGTTCCTTGAAAGTGGAGTTGCAGGTAGATGGGATAGTGAAGGTGTTTAGTATGCCTGTCTGTATTGGTCAGTGCATTGAGTATGGGAGTTGGGAGGTCATGTTGCATCTTTACAGGACATCTGTTAGGCCATTTTTGCAATACTGTGTGTAATTCTGGTCTCCCTGCTATCCAAAGGATGTTGTGAAACTTGAAAGGGTTCAGAAAAGATTTACAAGGATGTTGAGCTGTTGGGAGAGGTTGAATAGGCTGGGGCTTTTTTTTTCCTGGAACCTCAGCAGCTGAGGAGTGACCTCCTATAGCGGTTTAGAAAATCATGAGGGAGATGGATAGGGTGAATAGCAAGGTATTTTCCCTGGGGTGGCAAAATCCAAAACTTAGAGGGGTACAGTTTTAAGGTGCGAGGAGGAAGATTGAAAAAGTTGCCCCTCGGTCACTTATTGAGGGTCGTGCATGCATGGAACGAGCTGCCTGTGGAGGCTGGTACAAATACATATCCAGATGCTTTTTCGACATTGTAAATGAATAGGAAGGGTTTAGAGGGATAAGGGCCAAATTCTAGCAAATGGGACTAGGTTAATTTAGGCAGTCTGGACCAACTCGTCTACGTTGACCAAAAGGCCCGTTTCCAAGCTGTACCATTCTACGACTATGACAAACAAGTAATTTCAGTGGCTGATTTGACATGTAAGCTTTTCTATATATTCACGTTTGAAGCATAGAAAGGAATCCAGGCACTGTGAAGCACTTAATTATCTCAGAGCACTTCCTGGAAGCAGGTTGTGGGAACAGCATCCTCATCAATCAAAACCCAAATGTCTTCAAACAACTCCCCATGTCCTTCTGCCAAACAAACTAACATTTTCTAAAATGCAAGGAAGTATGAATGAAACAGCTTTTCCTGAACAGACAGAATTCCAGCCTTATTTTCCACATATGCAAGATTCAGTTTAACATAAATTAAACCAGAACTTTCACTGTCCCTGCACGCATTTTGGATCCCACCCATTGGTTTGTTGTCCATTTTATCAGGATCCCTGTAGCCTCCTGAAGTTTGCTCCACTTCTTTTCCTTGTTTACACTATTGCCAAGTTCTGTCATCTCAACTCATGCTATGACCTGGGATCCTGTACACAGTCAGCTATTCAAAAAAGAAACTGACTTTATCCCTTCACCATGAATACATTTGTCCCTCACATGGCCACTTAAGCTGTCCCATCATAATTCTGACAAGAATTGGAGCAGCGTTACATATAAGTAGGGGAGGTCATATAGAGTAAAGCTTTGTCTGAATAAATACATGAAGCATATCCAGGATAGGTCAGTTGAACCACAGATTCTGGGAATGTGCACTGTGTTTTTACAAATGTTGCATAAATTAACAAGTCGTTGCTGACCCTACGCACACCGTATTCTCAGATGCGTTCACATGCATCCTGTTTTCCCTGCCTGTACAGAAAGAGAGCATATTACACACCAGAGTCATTTTTCAGCTACTTCTGTGTTCAAGTTCGTTTTTAATACTCTATTGGTGCAGGAGATACAAACCCTGAGCTTCACACCCAGCAAAAGAAAATTGTTTCCCTCCGAGTTCCACGAATACATTTTACATGTGTTTCCTTTTTTATTAACTTGTAAATCTCTGCAGGGGTCCTGTCTGGTGGTAGAATACTGTAAATGAGGCTGTCAGTGAGAGGCTTTCAAATTGAACAGAGATAAACCAAAACAGCTGCTGGACTTTCCACCACCAGCAAAAACACAATGTGACCAGGGCAATGCTAACATGAAAAAAGTGACAGGAAGTAGGGATTAAATTAAAATGGAGTTGGAGGGCTGCTTGCGCTTTACTCATTTTGAAACTTCCTCTCTCTCAACGGGAGAGGGAGGGATTTCTTCTGTAAATATCCACCTTAAGTCTGGTACGCAAGTTAGAGTTTCACTCTGCTTCTGAAAGTCTTTGCTCCTGTGAGTGAATATAGGATAACTTCTTGAACAACGAGAGTATCAGGTTGAATTGTACTTCATTTATTATTTCGTATTGGATGAGACTTTTTTCACATGTTCTGGTACATTGGGTGACCGGTTTAATTATGTGTCTGACTGTCTCCAAGTGAGATTACTCTTAATTTGGTGGTCAATCATGTGAGGCTGAGAGATTCTTTAGCAAAAAAAAACACATGTTTATTACGCAAGACAAAAACAGAGAAAAACAATGTTCCTAACAGCACCATTCTGCCGCTTGAGCCGCTTCTACAGGATCAGAGCTGATCTGACATTCTTCATGGCTGCTTTCCTGTGATTTCCCCATAATCCTTCATCAAGAATCTATGTCAGCCTTCAATTTACACAAGGCGCCACTTTGCCTCACTGTGTGGCAACGAGTTCCACAGGCTCTCAACTGTTGACAGAAGAAATTCCTCCTCATCTCAGTCTTA